AAAGAATATGTATTCTGTTATTGTTGAATGTGATGCTCTCCATATAAATGGTGACCCAAGATATTTTACAATGTTGGTCGAATCTTGCCTACCCTTACTGATTTTGCCAGTTTTCCTATCAATGAGAAGACAGTGTTAAAATCTCCAGCTATTGTTAAGGATTTGTCTTCTTTTTTTTTTTTTTTTTTAATTTTTGAGAGACAAAGAAAGGCAGAGCACCAGTGGGGGAGGGGCAGAGAGAGAGGGAGACACAGAATCCGAAGCAGGCCCCAGGCTCTGAGCTGTCAGCACAGAGCCCAACACGAGGCTTGAACTCATGGACTGTGAGATCATGACCTGAGCTGAAGTCGGATGCTCAACCGACTTAGCTGGGGCACCACCCAGGTGCCCCACGGATTTGTCTATTTTTCCCTTTAGCTGTTGCTTTTTGCTTCATGTATTTTGAAATCTTATATTAGGTACATAAACATTTAACACTTTTATGTATTCCTAATAACGCAACCATGTTTTATTATGAATTATTTTTATCTCTGACAAAATATTGTCTTGAATTGTTATTTTGTCTGCTACTGATAAAACAACTAAGTTTTATTATTATTCGCATTTGGGGCACCTGGGTGACTCAATCAGTTAAGCGTTCGACTCAGGTCATGATCTCACAGTTTGTGGGTTCGAGCCCCGTGTCGGGCTCTGTGCTGAATGCTTGCTCAGAGCCTGGAGCCTGCCTCAGATTCTGTGTCTCCTTCTCTCTCTGCCCCTCCCCCACTCGCGCTCTGTCCCAATGTCTCTCAAAAATAAATAAATGTAAAAAAAAATTTATTATTATTCACATTTACATGTATGTATTTTCAAGTTTTGAACTACATGCACCTTTGTATTTATAATACATTTCTTATAAATGGCACATAGCTGGGTCATGCTTTTTCAAATATGATCTGAAATATTTTAATTGCAGTGATTAGTCCATTTAAATTTAATTTAATTATTGGGGCACCTGGGTGGCGCAGTCGGTTAAGCGTCCGACTTCAGCCAGGTCACGATCTCGCAGTCCGTGAGTTCGAGCCCCACGTCGGGCTCTGGGCTGATGGCCCGGAGCCTGGAGCCTGTTTCTGATTCTGTGTCTCCCTCTCTCTCTGCCCCTTCCCCGTTCATGCTCTGTCTCTCTCTGTCCCAAAAATAAATAAATAAACGTTGAAAATAAATAAATAAATTTAATTTAATTATTGATATGATTAGGTTTAGGCCAATCAATTTATCATCTGTTTTCTGTTTGTCTCAGCTGTGTTTTATTCTGTTTCTCTTTCCTTACCTCTTTTCTGCAAATATTTTTTATAGTCCCTTTTAATTCCTCTATTGGATTTTGAGTTATACTTCTTTTAGCTTTGTATGGCCATATGCCTTTTAAAGAAATATGAGGGCCACCTGGGTGGCTCAGTCGATTAAGCATCAGACTTTGTCTCAGGTCACGATCTCACGGTTCCTGACTTCCAGCCCCGTGTCGGGCTCTGTGCTGACAGCTCGGAGCCTGAAGCCTGCTTCAGATCCTATGTCTTTTTCTCTCTGCTTCTCTCTCTCTCTCTCAAAAATAAATAAACAGTTTTACAAATGTAAATAAATATGAGAAATTTTAAAGACAAAACTGTATTTTGTCTTTTCTAGTTACCCACATATCTATAATTTCCAGTGTTGCTCACTCCTTCCTGTAGAGCCCAATTTCTATCTAATGCATGTCCCTTCAGGCTGGAGAACTTCCTCCCTATTTCCTGTAGTGTATGCCTACTGATGATGAACTTAGTTTTCCTTTATCTAAAAGTGTTTCTATTTCACTTTCATTTTCAGAAGATAGTTTTACTAGATAAGAATTCTGGTTTGACAAGTTTTTTGTTTTTTGTGGGGTTTTCTTTGTTTTTGGTTTGGTTTGTGTGGGGTTTTTTTTGTTTTTTGTTTTTTGTTTTTTTTACACTTCTAAAATATTGCTCTCTGGCCTCCACTATTTCTAATGAGAAATCAGCTCTCATTCTTATTCTTACTCTCTTAATGTAGTAAGTTGTTTTTCTCTGGCTGCCTTCAAGGTATCCTTTTTATCTTTAAATTTCAGAAGTTTGACTATGATGTTTCCAGGTATAGTTTTCTATTTATTCCAGTTAGGATCACTGAGCTTCCTAGCTCTATAAATATATTTTTCAACAAATTTTGAAACTGTCATTATTTCCTCAAATATTTTTCTGGTCTCATTCTCTCTTTCCTCTCTTTCTGATATCACAATTAGATGTATTTTAGACCAATTATTTCTATTTCACAGGTCAATTACTATTTATTTTACCTATTCTTCGGATTGGGTGATTTGAAATGATTCATCTTCAAGGTTATTGTCTCTTCTTCCATCTTCAACTCCCATAGAGTGAATTTTTCATTTTAAGTATTATACTTTTCAGTTCTATAATTTCCAATTTGTTATCTTTTATGGTTTCCATTTCTCTGCTAAGACTCCTCATCTGTGCACTCATTATACTAATACTTTCATCTTTTAATATATTTATAAGCATTGCTTTAAAAATCTCCATTATCAGAGCACTTGGGTGGCTCAATCAGGTAAGCCTCCCACTTTGGCTCAGGTCATGATCTCACGGTTCGTGAGTTCAAGCCTCGCTTCGGGCTCTGTGCTGACAGCTCAGAGCCTGGAGCCTGCTTTGTAATCTATGTCTCACTCTCTCTTTGCCCCTCCCTCCCTCTCTCTCTCTCTGTCAAAAATAAATAACATTTTATAAAGTCTCCATTAGCTAATTCCAACACCTGGGTCACCTCAGGGTCAGTTTCTACTATCTGCTTTATTTTGTTCTTAAGAATAGGTCATCTTTTCTTGTTCTTCATTTATCTAGTAATTTTTTTTATTTTTTTTTTTTTACATTTATTCATTTTTGAGAGACAGAGAGAAACAGAGCACAAGTGGGGGAGGGGCAGAGAGAGAGGGAGGCACAGAATCTGAAGCAGCCTTCAGGCTCCGAGCTATCCGCATAGAGCCTGACATGGAGCTCGAACTCACAAACCACAAGATCATGACCTGAGCCAAAGTCAGATGCTTAACCAACTGAGCCACCCAGGCGCCCCTAGTAATTTTTGTTATATTCTGAACACTGGGAATAAAAGATTGTCAAGTCTCAAAATCCAGTTCTGTTTTTCTGAGACTGTTTTGTTAGAGCAGAAATTAACCTAGCTAGAATCAAACTCCAAATTCTGCAAAGAGCAGCGGTTTAAATCTCTTCTCAATTCTCTCCACTCCCAGTAGATGTTTTTACCAGGTCCTTTGGGGTTCTCACACACATACATACTCACACATGCACATTCATGCTTCTGATTTGGGCAGATTTTATAGGTGGATCTATATGAACCTGTAGAAATGAGGTCTCCTACCCTCTGAGCTTCTCTTCTTTCACAGATTGCCCCTAATAATCTAGCTGCTCTGCCAGCCCCCAAACTATATCCTCTCAGTAACTTACCAAGACTAAGGCTGACTGCTGCCCCGTGCTAACTGGATGAGCGGGTACCCTCAGGCAAAAGCTACAAACACACAAATCTCATATGAGACCCATTATGTTCTTTCAAGAACTGACCTCCCTCTTTCTGTCTACTTTGGGGGGTTATCCAGTTCCTTCAAGTAGTTGCTTTTAGGTATTTTTGTTCACACTACTTTGTCCAGATTTAACCATTTTTATCTGTATTAAGTCTAATTAAGACATTCCACCATTACCAGAACGAGGGCCCTGAGCACTGATTTTGTCTACATTTGATAAATGAAAATCATGGTTAATGCGTAATCCCACTTCCAGCATCCCTACATACCAAGTGATTAAAACTATTGGCAAATAAACTTTAAGAAATTATTTTAGCTTCAGAGCCCCCAACTTCCTCTACATTAGCAAGTTGCATGAGGTTGTTAAAGAAAAACTTGGTTTGATCCCAGCTCCATTACCTGATTTTAACCTCTGCATCAAGGCAATAATTCTCATTATACTGATCTTGTGTGTCAGATATGAGTGTGTAAAAGTAATGAATGTAAACACTGAGACAGTGCCCAGAACAAACTCTCATGAAAGATGGCTTCTGCTTCCATTACCATTAAGTGTTTCCACTATCGCAAACATATATCTCAAAATAACGTTTAAAAAAATTTACCTTCAAATCTCAGTAGTACCTTTTACTTCATTAGAATTTAATAACTGAAGAGCATATACGCTTTTTTCTATGTGGGAAGGGTAGGGGAAGATGAATGACTTGAGACCAGTATTGAACACTGAAGTGGTCAGAATTTTCTCCAAGGGCTTAAAAAATAAGGTGCACATTTTCAGATACTGTTCAGTCTTGCTTCTCAAATTGAAATTATCTGCTTAACAACTTGGTGAAATGGAAATTTGTTCTGCCTACTGTAGAGAGTTTGCTAGGCCCCATTTGGATTCACCCTGTTTAATGGATAAGAAAGGCAGTGAGGGGGGGAAAACTCTAAGAAAGAAGTTCTGAGATCTCCATACACAATTAACATGCAATTCGCTTGACAGATGACTACTTTCTAAGACTCAAAGTAAATAATTTTCATTCCATACTTCAATCCTGAATGTTTTTTTAATGTGTATCTTTTTCATAGTAAGTCATTGAAGAAAATCAAAGACTTTTGACTTTGAACATCACATAGGCCACAAAAAAGGAAGTTTTTGTTTAAAGTAGTACATAAAATTATGCCTAGCCTTGCTCTAGGAGAAGGAGAGAAATTCTGATGTAATCATTTTGTGGCCACAAACATAAAATATCCTTTCTACCACAAAGCAAAAAAATGGGAAATAAATGTTTGAAAAACCTGTTAATAAGAACATGAAACAAAGAATAAAAAATCACTTACTTAAAATATCTAGATGCATAGTTATACAATCAGTCAGAGGACAGGGTTTAATTATGCAAAGAAGAAGGAAGTGTTACATCATCTGTATTAATTGATCATAAATTCTTACCAAGGCTTCATGATCTTCTGCAATTTCTGGTACCGTCTGCAAAATTTGAAAACAACCATGTGAGGAGTATGTTTGAAAGCAATAATTTTTACACAAAGAATATATCTTGAAGAGAGCTCAGGATTAGATATAGGGAAGATTTAACTGCCATGATGTACAAGACTTTATTTATTTCAAAACATTATTCAAAGTACCAAATTGGTATTCTCTAATGATAAGAAACAACCAAAAGGCAGAGATTAAACTACTGCAACCAACCTACTGCATTTACTTGAATAAAGGCAATAAGAACATTCCATTTTGAACAAAATGGGTAAACGTTTGATGAAAAAAAGTAGAGCCCAAAACTAGACCAGTTCTTAAGCATATGCCAAACAATGAAGAAATAATTATCTTTCTTTGGGAAAATGCCCACTAATTCTATTTTCCCTTTTCTTGAGAAAAGATTGCTTCTTTGAAAAAAAGACATCGTAATAGACTCCAATAGTTTTGGACAACAGATGGAACTCTGTGATGGCAGCCTGCAAAAAAGTGTGCAATAGACAAATCTTGTCTGCAAGAAAGGACAATCATGCTTCTTAAAAACCTGGGGTCAAGAAGACAAGGAAACAAGTGATGTTCGTCCTATCAAACCACTTCCCATCCCTCCAGTCTGCCAAATATCTGTGGCTCTAGGTATGTTCTTCCCTGTTTGGAATACCCTTTCCCTCTAACCAACGTGTCCAACTAGCTAAGTTCTACTCCAAATTCACCAGATTCTCGGCTCCTCTGGGAAGCCTCCCTGACCTCCGATTTCCCCCACGTGACCAGACTGAAGGTGGGACTCACATCTGCACTCACTGAGAAACACCAGCTGTATGACTTTCGTAGGGCACCTCACTGTCTTTCCAGCTTTCTGAAGGCAGGGGCTTGACACTGTGACTCACTACTATAATGTCAGGCACATGCAGAGCAGATACTTAGTAAGTGGTTGATGAATGATTTGGCTCTTCAGATGAAGTTAAGTTTCATTTTCATCCACATAAAATGTAACCACTTGAGAAACCTAACTGACCACAAGGAGATCAGATCTAGTCTCTGGTAAAACTGGGGGTCAGGGGTGGGGGTAAAAATGTATACAGCCATCTTCTTCTTCTTCCTCCCATCCCTTTCCTTTATCTGTCTTTAAAAAAAATTAGCTTCCTTCCCACCCTCCTCCTTCAAAAAGCCACTGGGAAGAGTGAAAGTAGTAGGTGGTCACAGGCGGGCAGACCTCGGACACTACTGTCCACTAAAAGGAACTGAGCTCCTTGTAAAAATGACTCCTTGGGGCGCCTGGGTGGCTCAGTCGGTTGAGCATCCGACTTCAGCTCAGGTCATGATCTCACGGTCCGTGAGTTGTAGCCCCGCGTTGGGCTCCATGCTGTCAGTTCAGAGCCTAGAGCCTGCTTCAGATTCTGCGTCTTCCTCTCTCTCTGCCCCTCCCCTGCTCACGCTCTGTCTCTCTATATCAAAAAATGAATAAACATTAAAAAAATTAAAAAAAAAAAGACTCCTGATGGGACTGAGACAAGGAAAGATCTAGATAACCCTGGAACACGTCACTGCACCAGAAAGTAATGAATGCTCAAAAAATAATGGGAAGGACAGGACAGGTCAGAAGGACAGCCAAATCTGGGACAAACCAAGCACCAAAATAAATAATAATAGTGACAGATTATAGCTTCCTGAATTAAACAGGACTGAATGAGTCCATGTTGTTTGAAAGACTGGTGTGCTGGTATTGTTGTAGAACCAAATCTCTGGGGGAAAACATACCAACCTGACTTACACTGTTTCCCATTTTCTGTGGTGTAACTACCCAAAAGAAAACAAAAACAAAAATAAAAAACAAACAAAAAACTGTTACAGTAGAGACATCTGGAAGGCACTATTATAAGGGTCTTAAGTCAAAGTGAACATGAGTAACAAGACAAAAAGACATCATGTGCCATCAATAGGTTGCAATGAAAAAAAACAAAACCACACACAAACATCTCTAATATTCCAGACAAAGACGTATCATATGGGTTTACAACAGGAAAACAATACAGGATAAACATGTAGAAACAAAAATTCTGTTCCAATGGAAAACTGTACAGTGTCCGTTGCAAACTCTTCTGAATTAGCAGATTCCAGCCCTGTTGTCTCTAAGTTGTAGGTAACTGATGAATATATATACTTTGTCCTGTCATGTAGTGCTCTAATGGACTTCCTCCTTGCAGGCGGAAATCCAGGTTGTCTCCATTTGCAATTCATTTCACCAACCCTTTGCTCCATATAAATCGGTGCCCTTTTGACTTTTCCTTTGAAACTGTTAGAGCATCTGCCTCATTCCCTCATGTCACATGAGTAAAATGTCTTAACATATGTTCATTTTTATATCTGTATGAGAGCCATGCTTTTATCTTTTTCTTAAAAGCACCTTTAATGAATTACCTTTTAACAAACCCAAATTGAAGGATATTCTAAAAGTGGCTGATAGATAATCTCAAAAAGTGCCAAAATCATGAGAGAAAGGGAACCACTGAAGAATAGTTCCATGGTGGGTGGGGGAGGTGGGCGCCTGGGTAGCTCAGTCAGTTAAGCATCTGAATTTGGCTCAGGTCATGATCTAATGGTTCGTGGGTTCAAGCCATGCATCAGGCTCTGTGCTGACAGCTCAGAGCCTGAAGCCTGCTTCGGATTCTGTGTCTTCCCAGCTCTCTCTGTCCCTCCCCCACTCATGCTCTGTCTCTCTCTCTCAAAAATAAATAAACATTTAAAAATAAATAAACATTTAAAAAAACTCAAAAATAAATAAACATTTAAAATAAATAAACATTTATTTATTTTCTCAAAAATAAATATTTAAATAAATAAACATTTAAAAATAAATAAACATTGGGGGCGCCTGGGTGGCGCAGTCGGTTGAGCATCCGACTTCAGCCAGGTCACGATCTCACCGCCCATGAGTTCGAGCCCCGCGTCAGGCTCTGGGCTGATGGCTCAGAGCCTGGAGCCTGTTTCCAATTCTGTGTCTCCCTCTCTCTCTGCCCCTCCCCCGTTCATGCTCTGTCTCTCTCTGTCCCAAACATAAATAAAAAACGTTGAAAAAAAATTTTTTAAAAAAAATAAATAAACATTTAAAAAACTTTTTAAAAAAGGAATAATTCCATAAGGAAAAAGATCAGGAAACAAGAGGAAAGTTGGTGCAAGGCGCTACCTGGAGTTAGATCTCTGTATTAAAGGACACAACAGACACAAGTGTTCAAACTTGATCTTGCAACTCTTCCATTTAGTAGGGGACCCTTCAGTTAACTAAACAAGGAGGCCATTAACTGAGGTGGCCATAAGGCCAGAAGCCTCTAGAAGCACACCAAAATCTAAGCCTGTAAATGCTGCAGGGTCACACACACACACACAGACAAATAAAAACAAAAAACCGGTATCTAAGAACAACCAATCAGGAACACCCAATGAGGCTTTAAGCTGCAGCCAGTCAAATAGGTGCTTTCCTTCCACCTCTTCTCTCTAAAAGTCTTTCCCCTGCCACAGGTGCAGCAGAAACCTAACCACTTCCAGTTTGGCACTGATAGCTTCCAATTGATTTTTGGTCAAATAAATTCTTAAAAATTTTCATATGCCTCAGTTTATTTTTTAACAGCACTGGTTCAAAATAAACGTGTATGTGGGGTGTGTATCTGTGTACGTGTACGTGTACGTGTACGTGTGTGTGTGTGTGTGTGTAATACATAAACCTACCAGTACAACTTTTCAAGATAGCTTTCTGGCCTAGTGCCTGAACACCTCTAGGTTTTTATATGTGTTCCCCCTGCTATAGCAGACTCTGGCCGTAGACAGTTCTCCCTGACCAGTGTTTCTTCTCAGCCTCCTCACTTTTGATTCAGATTAAGCATAAAGAGAAGGGTAACTTTTCGTTGTTGATGTCTCTGGCTGAGGTTCTCTCCTCTCTTTCTTTCTCTCTTTCTCAATATACTCATTTTTAAAATAAACATGCCCAAGGGGCACCTGGGTCACTCAGTCAGTTAAGCATTTGACTCTTGATTTTGGTTCCGGTCATAATCTCAGTTGTGAGACTGAGCCCTGCATTGAGCCCCACGTTGGGCTCCACACTGGGTGTGGAGCCTGCTTAAGATTCTCTCTCCCTCTCCCTCTGCCCCTCTCCAGCTTACATGCACTCTCTTACTCCGAAAGAAAGAAAGAAAGAAAGAAAGAAAGAAAGAAAGGAAAGGAAAGGAAAGGAAGAAACATGACCAGAAAGAAATGGTTCTAGAAAGGCTGCTGTTTCAGAATGGCCAGAGGCCTCTCACCTGAGCTCAAGGTATGGCATTCTGTTTCCTAGAAGAAGATAATCTCTTCTTTAAAACAGGCTGCGTGACCCCTTCTCATTTCCATTTCCAGAGTGATGCTGGATAGCTAGTTTGTGCAAGTACACCTGAATGTCCCTGTTAGTCACTCTCTGGAGAATGTAGAGTCCCACCTCCCTCTATATTCCCATCAAGCAGAATGTGTGGAAGAATGTGTTGTTCAGCCTTTAAGGTCAGGGGCTCCTGGGGGTGCCCAACCCAGAGTGTCTTCTTCGTAACGGAGAGTGTCCAGATGGGCAGGCCTTGATCCCCTTGGAACACTGGCTGCGCAAGGAGGGAAAGGTTGCAGAGAGCTGTTGAGCTACGTTGCTGTGCTATCAAAGCTTGAGGCACGCAGATCCCAGCAGCAGACTCTTTGTCCAGTTGACTGCTTCTGATCTCCTTATTTGTAAGTTCCCCCAATAAACCTGTGCACCTCGATCACTCTCTCCGGATTTTTTCTTTGGCCTCACCAGACCATCACCCACCCCTGACTTAGAGTCTGCTGGTCTATGACTGCACAATTGGACAAAGACCCAGAGACAAACTTAGAGCAGTTGGAAGGGGGAAGATCCAGTTTAAGGAAATTTCTGCCACACAATGGCTGACAAAGCACAAGATGATTGACCCCTCTGATTGTGATGTAAATCTCTGGCGGGGCCCCATGAG